TAGCCAAATTTACCACCCTAACTCCTCCCACAGTTTTTACACTACATAGACAGTAATATACCGAAACGTGCAGATTGTTCCCGATTGGTGTGCTATTACTTTGTGGAACGTTTTGCCGAATGGTTCACGAAATATCGGCGTTTTTGTGGTGAAATTGGTCCCATAGGAATGAATGGCGGAATGTTCAAAACTAGAGTGTGAGCTGACAAAAGCTAGAGTGTGAGCTGAAAAATCAGCACATGATATCTAAACTGCCATCACTCCCTCATTTTCAAGCCCACCTACACAAATCGTATATCAAAACGTTCAGCCATCCCTGCTGCCACTAAAAATGTCCACAGCTAAGCCATAGTCCTGATAGTTTTCACAATATGACCATTTGTTTGCAACTCACGCCGCCCATTGACATTCATTGAAACTTCACTCTAGCCACCTCAAATTTGAAGGGTAATTTCTAAACTGCGACTGTGCCTTCATTTTTAATATTTCAGAGACATACTATGCATCAAAATGTAGGTCTGGGTCATGTGATTCTCGCAATATAAAGCTCTTTGCTGTAGGATTTAGAGTTTTTAAAACTACGACCATTTGAAGACGCCAGTGAAGTGAACAATTTGGAGCAGTTTGTTTTTAACCGCTCTTCTCTGCCCTATTTGAAATCTAATTTTGAATTGGTGACAGTTTGGCCGGCTTCTGGTTAAAGGTTTGGAAATACATTTTCTACTGTTGAGAGTATTTGAGGTAATAATGCTGCTAATGTTTTTATAAATGTATGTTTTAATGTAACTGTGAAGCACTTTTGGCAACAACATTGCAATTAAATGTGCTATATATATATATATAATTAAAAGTTGAAATGCATTTCTCACTCTATCAAGCTTGCCATGTGCACTTTTTAAATTTGATCAATCAATTGGTTAGTGTAATGTTTACTATCTTTACTCACTCCAAACACTCCACACAGTTACTCTACCCACTCCATAAAGTTACTCTGCTCAGTCCAAACTTTTCACAGTTACTCCAGCCACTCCAACCACACAACAGTTACTCAAGCCACTCCACCCAGTTACTTCGCCCACTCCAGTTGTAGACTACTGGTGGAGGCAAGAACACTTCACACAATTTCCCCAGAAATTGTAGCTTTTCTAGTTTCATTTGTTATATTGTCCATTTTGTTTCTTCATTGGAGTATTCACTATTCTCTTTTCATTATTATTATTACAGTATTTATATAGCGCCAAAAGGTTTGCTCAGCGCTGTACATTAAAGTGGGGGACAATACATGAGACAATACAGTAACAATACACAAGAGGTTCGAGGGCCCTGCTATTTCGAGCTTACAATCTAGGAGGGAGGGGGGGTAGAGGTACAGGAGGAAGTGGCTGTGGGGGATGGAGTGGTAGGAGGAGTGGAGGAGAACGGCTGTTAGGTGAGGGTGGGGTAGGCTTGCCTGAAGAGATGGGTTTTCAGGGTGCATCTGAAGGTGAGGAGGGTAGGTGGCAGTCTGATGGATTTGGGTAGTGAGTTCCAGAGGATGGGGGAACTCCTGGAGAAGTCCTGCAGTCGGGCGTGGGAGGAGGAGACCAGGGAGCTAGAGAGTAGGAGGTCTTGTGAGGAGCAAAGGGCACGGGTAGGGTGGTATTTGGGTATCAGGTCAGTGAGGTAGTTTTGGGCAGCGTTATGAATGGCTTTGTATGTCAGAGTTAGTAATATGAATTTAATGCGTTGGGCAATCAGGAGCCAGTGAAGGGATTGGCAGGGACGGGTGGCAGAAGTGGAGCGGTTGGTGAGGTGGATGAGTCTAGCCGCTTACTTCAGGATAGACTGGAGCGAGGATAGCGTGTGTTGGGGTAGGCCGGTGAAAAGGGAGTTGCAGTAGTCTAGGCGTGAGATAATAAGGGAGTGTACGAGTTGTTTAGTGGTGTCTGGGGTGAGGAACGTACGTAGCTTGGAGATGTTGCGGAGGTGGAGTCTGCATGAATTTGATAGTGATTGGACATGAGGTTGGAAGGAAAGGTTTGAGTCCAGGGTGACACCTAGGACTTTGGCGTGTGGGGTGGGATTAATGGTGGCGTTGTTAGTCATGATGGAGAGGATGGGGGGGGGGTGCGAGCTGGGGGGAAAACTAAGAGCTCGGTTTTGGACAGGTTTAACTTGAGGAAATGGAGCAACATCCAGTCTGATATGTTGTTTTGGAGGTGGGTGATGCGGGCGGAGAGTGAGGGGGTGAGTTGAGGGGTAGAGAGGTAAATTTGTGTGTCATCGGCATAGAGGTGATAGTTGAAGCCGTGGGAGTGTATCAGTTTGCCAAGGGAGGAGGTGTAGATGGAGAAGAGAAGGGGTCAGAGGACAGAGCCTTGGGGGACATCAATCGAGAGGGGGGGAGGTGGCAGCGTTATAGGTAATGCTGAAGGAGCTTTGGGATAGGTAAGAGGAGAACCAGGAGAGAGCAGAGTCCCTGAGGTCGAGGGAGTGTTGTTTAGTAAGGAGGAGGGGGTGGTCGACTGTGTCGAAGGCCGCGGAGTAAGAGGACTGAGTAGTGGCCATTAGCTTTGGCGGTTAGCAGGTCGTTAGTGATTTTAAGTAGGGAGGTTTCGGTGGAGTGTAGGGGACGGAAGCCAGACTGTAGTGGATCAAGGAGGTTGTTGTCAGTGAGGTGGGCGCTTAGGCGATTGTAGACTAAGCGCTCAAGCTTGGAATTGAGTGGCAGCAGGGAGATGGGTCTAAGGTTGTTCAGGTCAGTGGGGCCCAGGGAAGGTTTTTTGAGTATGGGGGTGATGTGCACATGCTTTAGGGGGAAGGGGAATGTGCCAGTAGAGAGGAAGAGATTGAAGATGTGGGTGAGGGAGCGAATGATGGAGGAGGGGGGTGACTGGAGTTGTGAGGGGATAGGGTTCAGGGGGCAAGTGGTGAGGTGGGCTTCAGTGAAGACCTTATTGACCTCCTCAGTGGTAGCAAGGCTGAGGGAGTAGAGTGTTGGGGAGGTTATAGTGTGCGGAACGTTAGGTGTGGTGGGGGGCAGTGCGGTTGCGAGGTCAGAGGAGGAAAGAGTTGAGGGGGTGATGGAGGGAGGGAGGGAGGCTAGGTGGAGAGGTAGATTGTGAATTGACAATGTCCTTACGGATTGCGTCAATCTTGTTTTGGAAATGATTGGCAATCTCGTGGGCGGGGTGAGTGAGGTACTGAGTGGAGGTGGGGGGGGGAAGAGAACAGGGAGTTGAAAGTGAAGAAGAACCGGCAAGGACAGGTGGAGAGGGCGTTGATGAGGGTTACGAAGTAGGCTTGCTTGGCAGCGTGAAGGGAGGAGGTGTAGGTGAAGAAGGCGGATTTGTAGAGGGAGAATTCTTGAGGGGATCTGGTTTTGCCCCATAATCGCTCCAGCGCACGACTTCGTCGTTTGAGACATTTTGTATGGTCATTCTGCCAGGGTTGAATTATTTATTTCAGGTACTTATAGCGCCGTCAATTTACGCAGCACTTTACATATATATATTATACATTCACATCAGTCCCTAACCCTCAAGGGATGTACAATCTAAGGTCCCTAACTCACATTCATATATACACATACTAGGGACAATTTAGACAGGATCCAATTAACCTATCAGCATGTCTATTGGAGTGTAGGAGGAAACTGGAGTACCCGGAGGAAACCCACGCAGTCACAGGGAGAACATGCAAACTCCAGGCAGGTGGTGCCATGGCTGGGATTCAAACCAATGACCCGAGTACTGCCAGGCAGAAGTTTTTTATGATGTCTCCTTTCTCTCTTTTTCAATCACACGGGTCATCATTGATTATAACACACATTTCTATTAGCACTGCACATTGATTATAGTATTGTTGGAGACAGAGGGTTTGCCACGTTTGTGCTAGGCTTTACTTTTTCCTTTTGTACTCACCATTTATTCTTTGTTACATGGAGGACTGTTTCTGTAAAATGTATAGATGTGAGCCTAGCCTAATAGGGGGCCATACAGAAACCAAACCCTGACAAACCCTCTGCTATCCAAATCTACAAAATAAGTTGTGCCTTCAGTCGCAGCTCGGTTCCTGTGAGAATACTGTCCATAAACACTCTCGTTGTTGAACACGGGTCAGGTCGGAACATTTGCCAGGCTTGTATTAGTTCCCTGGCTGGGAAATGTACTTCCTGGGCCGGTAAAGCTAGAAAACCCCTTAGCGACCCGCTCCATTCCGCCCACAGTCGAAGTTATAACATCTCCGCCCTGTAGCACGCCGACACTGCTCTGAGGAGAACACAACAGCGCCGAACCATCCGCACCGCCCCTTCGCGTGCTAACACACTTCACGTCACAGTGCCCACACTTCCTCTCACGCCTCGTCCATGCCTCTCATGAGCCAATGGCATCCAGTTAAGCTCGGTAGCCCCGCCCCTCCGTTTGCTCTGCGTGCGGCAGGCTCCCATCACAAGCCTCCGAGAGCTACGACGTGCTTGGTGTTCAATTGGTGGATTGGTCACTGAAGGAGGGGCGTGATTTCATCGCGTCACGGTGTGCGTCGTGTGGGCCGTCGCAGCCGCTGCTCTGGCTTCCTCCATGTTGCCTTGTTGAGCAGCGCTGGGCAGCTTGTCACCCGTGTCCGGAGGGAGCCTTGCCCGCGGACAGTAGCTGCCAGCCCGCCCGCCGCTCTACATGTGCCTCGCCGTGCGCTGGGAGGGCGGCTGCCGAGAGCCAGTGGCGGAGCTTTCCCTGTGATGCCTCCCTCAGCAGCTGCCGCAGCCACGATGATCTCTTGAGGCAAGAGCCGACCTCCGGGGCTGCTGACTCCACGGACCGACATCCTCACACTGAGCCCTGGGCATGTCCGCCTGTGTCAGCGCCATTGTTCCGTACGGAGGGGGCTCCGCTCTCCGCGGGTACTAGGAACGAGCCGCTGCCGGACTCTATACCCCCCCCCCAAATCCACACACCCGCCGAACTCCACATCTGGACCCCGGATACTAGAGGTGCGAGGTCGACCCGTTTCACTCCGCAACCATGGCCTGGGCTCTGAAACTTCCCCTGGCGGACGAGGTCATAGAATCCGGACTGGTGCAGGACTTCGATGCCAGCTTGTCTGGGATTGGGCAGGAGCTGGGTGCTGGCGCCTACAGTATGAGGTAATAACCATCATCAGGACTTCAGTCCAGGAACAGCCCTGGGGTGCAAAGTCTGATCAGTGCCTCCCTTCCACAGCAATGCTTCCCAATCTCACTCCTCCACTGCCCCCGACACACCATACTTGCTGGATTTCCTCTACTCTGCTTCCCATCCAGGACACTTCTCGCCTTCCACACACACCTCAAAATCTGCAAAATTACTTTTTGCCCCCCCCAACATATATTTTCTGAAAGCAATGGCCCCAGAGAATAAAAATGGTGGGTGTTGCCAATCCTTTTTATGTCATATATTTCCGTAGCCATTTATTTGGGTGAAAAATACACTTTACACCCCAGTCACACCAAACCCAACTTTGAAGTCGCACGATTTCAGTGTCGGATGACATGCCAATTTCCATTGCGATTTTCTAGATGTCTGACACAGATGTCTATGCAAATTGTGTCAAAAGTAGTGCATGTACTACTTTTGAAATCGATGGGTTCGACCAAGTTGGAATCGCACTGATATCACCTTTTTGTAATTGTGCACAATAAGATGCGATTTGTAAATCTCATGCCAATTCTCATCCAGTGTGACTATATTCCCCTTCAGACCTTTGCTGGGGCGTCTCAGAGCTCCCTGTGAGCCACTGGTGGCCGGCTATCAGGTCTCCGTCGCCTTGCCACTTTCGTTTGTCAAGATGCCGTCAATCCCATGCATGCGCAGCTTCGGTATTGACGATTTTGTACAATGGTCTGTGTGCGCACACAGCGCACTACACTAAGGGCAAACAGGCAGGTAAGTGGCTAATGCAGAGGAGACGAAGCATCTCTTTTGCTTTTAAAATCCAGCCTGTTCGTCCTTTTTTTTTTTTAAATTTTCCCATAAAGTTTTTGATTTCAGCCTCATGCCCCTAGGAGCAGCTGATTAAACATCCAGTGTGCATCAGACATTTTTTTCCTGCTTCTAAATCCCCTGCATATCCATGTATGAGTGCATGCACACAAACTTTAAGCCCTGGTTTACTCCGAATGAGATTTTAAAGTGGGGCGATTTTGCCCATTTAAAGTGCAACTTCAAAGTAGCATTGATGTAAACACTGGTGCAATTTCAGTGCCATTTACCTTATAGTCTATGAGAATTGAATCGCACTGAAGTGAAAAAGTAATGCAAAAACTATTTTTTAAATTGCACTTAGAACAGCACCATAGGAATACATTAAATGCAACTTCAGGTGCATTTTGTAAATCGTATGTTGCACTTGAATTAGCAGCAGTGTGAACCAGGGCTTATGCGGGCATATATGTATAATTTTCCGGGTAGGGGGCACCTGCCCTACCCGCACCTCTATTCGCGGCCTCGGCTGTCACTCACTGGGTACCAGCCAGTGATCACAGAGCATTACCGACGGAGGGAGAAAACTGTAAACAATACAGTTCTCTCTCCTGTCAGCTGCACACTGCTTTGCACGGCTCTGCATAGCAGAGCCGTGCAAAGCAGTGTGCTTACAGTATAAAGTGCTAACACACAGCCCACAGTGAAACTGCACACAGTTAGCACCTTCCTGCCCAGTGCCATTAGTACAATGTCAGTGCTTTTTATTAGCACTGGTCGCTGTATTGGTGTCATTGGGGATGTCAGTGACGCCAAGTTAGTTCCCACTCAGTGTCCAAATGCCTGCCACAGTCCCACTATAAGTCACTGATCACTGCCATTGCTAGTAAAAAAAAAGGCAAAGACGTAGCAAAATAAATTTTGGCCTAAATTTATGATAATCTGATTTTTTGAAAAAAAAAATTTTACTTTACATGTTTAATAGCAAAAAGTCAAAAATATTTTTTTTTCAAAATTCAGTTTTTTGTTTTTTTTTTATAGTGCAAACATTAAAAACCACACAGGCGATCAAATACCACTGAAAGAAAGCTCTATTTGTGGGGAAAAAAGGATGTAAATTTAATTTGGGTGCAGTGTTGCTTGACCGCGCGCAATTGTCAAAGTAATGCAGCGCCGTAATGCAAAAAATTGCCTGGTCAGGAAGGGGGGTAAAATCCTTTGGAGGGCAAGTGGTTAATGCATGTAAATGCATCTAAATGTGTGACGACATTAGTGCTAGAGCATTCATTCGTTTCAGTGGCCAGAATAAATGATCTATTCTGGCCAATGAAATGAACGAAACGCTTGACACAGGTAAATGATCTTACCTTGCTAGGAGAAGTTTTTGTTTTTTTTTTCGGTTGTGCCAGTGTGCATGAGGCCATCACCTCATAGATTGTAAGCTCTAATGAGCAGGGCCTTCTGTTTCCTGTTGTAACATTGTGTTGTAACTGTAATAACTACCTTCATTTTGTAAAGTGCTGCACAAACTGTTGGTGCTATATAAATCATGTATAATAATAACCTCATGCAGCCTGTTGGCTAGTGGGCTTTACCTTTCACTCTTGGTAAACCGGACACAGAGAGGGTAAATCTTCTTAAAGGGGACACAGACAAAATCCTGACACAAGTTGTCCCTCTCTGCTCTATTCAAAGGAAAAAGTGTTTTGCCTTTAGTTATACTTTAACCACTTCCCAGCCATAGGACATCATATGACATCCTGGACTTTGAGTGGAAATACGGGGATGATGCCTGCAGCTACAGGCATCATCTTGGTATCTTTTTTTTTTTTTTTTCCTTTTTTTTTTTTGGCTCGTGTTCCTCCTGTAATGTCAAAGCAATCCTGGTGGCTGGATTACTCTTACAAGCGGCAAGAAGGGGCTACCCTCACTCTCCCAGGCTTTTCCGTTGCATTGAGGAGCCCGAGGTTGAATAAGGCACTACCACTGGCTTACCCTAAAGATGTATAGGGACCGGAATGTCCCCAATCATCTCTACGGTATTACAAACTGGAAGCGACAAGTATTTGTCGGCTGTAAACAAGGCCATTTTTGGCTTGGGAGAACGTCTGATCAAATTGATTTTGGTGTGATCAGAAGCATTTAAGGGCAGAAGAAAGATCTGGTGTCTTAGACTCAGTAAAGAGTACCTTTCACTGCTTATTGCTATCACAAAGGATGTTTACATTCCTTGTGCTAGCAATAAAAGTGATTTAAAGAAAAATGAAAGGGACAGTGTAAAAATAAAATTAACATTTCCTTAAAGTAAGGTATCACCGTGAACGTTATACCGCAAGATATAATTATAAACCGGTAAACTGTAAAGGCTTATAAAGTGTCACCTATGGAGATCAAGCACCGTAGTTTGATGCCGTTCTATGGGCATGCACAATTTCAAAGCATTACATGTTAGGTATCTATTTACTCTGTCTAATATCCTCCCCTTTTTTTTATATATATATTTTACCAAAATGTATACTATTGTTTTGTGTTCACTAAAATTCATTAAACTGTGTTTTTTTTTTTGTTTTTTTTTTTTTTTTTTTTTTGTCCCAAAAATTTTCATTTGAAGAACTGCACAAATACCATGTGACATAGAAAAAACTGCAAAACCCGCCATTTTATTCTCTAGGGTCTCTGCAAAATAATATGTAATTTTGGGTGTTCTAAGTAATTTTGTAGCAAAATTATTTTTACATGTAGGGGAGAGAAGTCAGAATTGGTCTGGTGGGGAAGAGGTTAAGTTCCATTCCGAAACTGTTTTTATAAATCCAGGAATCTGATAGAGGGAGGAAAAGGTGGAAGGTGAAAATTATCCTGAAGTGGGGCTTTAAATCCATGCCAATGGATTGGTATTTATAACGGCTATTTTATCTACCGGTAAATTCCCAATACTTAGCCAGTCAGGGGTACTTGTGGACTAAGACTGGGAACTACTGTTGTAGATCATACAATCCCAATTCCAAAAAAGTTGGGACGCTATGTAAATTCAGTGTAAAAACAGAATGTAATGATTTGCAAATATGAAACCAATATTTTATTCACAACAGAAAACGCATCCCGTGTTTAAACTGAGAAAATGTACTATTTTAAGAAAGATGAGGTCATTTTTTTTTTATATTGATGGCAGCGATATGTCTAAAGTTTGAACATGGCCATGTTTACCACAGTGTAGCATCCTCTTTTCTTATAACACTTTGTAAAAGTCTGGGAACTGAGGAGACTAGTTGCTGGAGTTTTGGGAGAGGAATGTTGCCCCACTCTTGCTCAATATAGGACTCTAACTGCTCAACAGTCCTGGGTTGACTTTGCTGTACTATTCATTTCAAATACTTTGCATAAAATGTTTTCAATTGGTGAAAGGTCCGGACTGCAGGCAGGCCAGTTAAATACACGGACTCGCCTGCTACAAAGCCACACAGTTATAGTTGCAATATGTGGTTTGCATTCTCCTGCTAAAATATGGAAGGCCTTTCTTGAAAAAAGTAGTCTGGATAGGAGCATATGGTGCTCTAAAACTTGCATATATCTTTCAGCATTGATGATGCCTTTCCAGATGTGCAAGCAGCCCATTCCATATGCAATATTGCACCCCATGCCATCATAGATGCAGGCTTTTGAACTGATGACTAGCCGGAAGGTCCTTCTCCCCCTCAGTATGGAGGATTTGGTACTCATGATTGCCAGGAGAGTGCCAAATTTCGATTAGTCAGTCTGCAGAACAGGTTTTAATTTTGCAGCATACCATTTTAAATGGGCTTTGGACCAGAGAAGAGAGTTGTGTTTCTGGATCATGTTCAGATATGGCATTTTTGCATGATAGAGCTTTACCTCTGCATTTTTGAATGGCACAGCAAACTGTTCAGACGATGATTTAGGAAGTATTCCTGAGCCTGTGCACTGATGTCCAACACAGAATCGTGCTAGTTTTTAATGCCACGTCACCTGAGGGCCTGAAAATAATGGGAATCCAATATTGGGTTTTCGGCTTTGTCGCTTGCACACAAAGATTTCTCCAGATTCTCAGAATCCTTTTGATATTATATTTTGTAGATGATATTTAAAGTCTTTGTAATTTTATACCAAGGAACATTATTCTTAAATTTTGACAAATTTTAGATGCAGCTTTTCACAGATTGGTGAACTT